CAACCTTTCATCTAGCCAAGTTGAACTCGGTGCATCTCTTGTGCTTGGTGCATGTACCTTGAGGTGGGCATAGCTATTTTTACCAATTTGTGCTCCTTTTGATCTTTTATTTTGAGTTGGAATGACATGAGAATTCATGTAATAAAATTTGTGCAATAAAGCAAGTAGATGCAAAGTATTAATGTCATTACTTAAATTTTAGAGTAAAAGATATTAAATTATCCTTATGAATTAATGTAATTTTTACACTTAACCTACTCTTGTTTGTATTAACAATATAAAACTCAAGTCAAACATAATTGGAAGATGTATTATATTAAGTTGAACCAATTAAATTTTCCAGTTGGAACAAATGTCATCATATATATAATTAATAATTATATATAAATATATAATTATATATAAATGTATATTGAATAATGCCTCTATTATTTTTAGAGCGCAATAAAGCAAAACATTAAATAATGTTCCACTTTTTTATTTTAGATAAATTATCTGATTAGTTTTAAAAGTTATTCCGGTTTAATCATGTAATATTAGAATTTCTATAATAGAAAAGTACTACGACCTCTAGTTCTTTTAAAACTATTTACAAGTCAAGATTAGACTGGTTGAACAGGGATACTTATAACTTTGTATGTGTAGTTACCAGTTTGAGATAAATATGCTGAGAATTTGACGAGCATTGTAGCACATATATCATAATGTTGTTTACATTTTTTTAAAGATCAGAAAATATGTTCCTTAGCTTTAGCATCATCACCTTTTTAAACATAAAAAAAATGTTTTTTATATTCAAATCAACTAGAAGTTTCACCCACCACAAAATATTAATATACTAATATTTAACGATAAAAAAAATCAACTAGAAGTTTCACGTTCAGATCTTTTCAAATGTATTTATGTTAAATATTTACATTTAGTAAAAAAATACACAGTTAAAATAAAATTTACATAAAATATATATATATATATATATATATATATATATATATATAAAAGAATATTTTAGTTTAAAGAGATACACACTAAAGAGAGAGTTAAAAGATATATGATCCAGACTAAAAGTAAACATATTTTATTCTGTTCCCTTAGTTTCTTAAATTATTTTTTAAATACCTATAAAATAATTTAAAGAGTTTAACAATAACCCTTATTATATACTCACGTACATATCTGTGTGATTAAAAATGATTTTCATACTAGGTTTATAATTTATTTTGAGTTTAGTCTGTCTTAATTTTTTTAGTTTAGTGCTGTACATTTAGTTATTTTGATTTTAATCCTTCTCATTAATTTGGATGTAATATGCTAATATGAATGAACTAAATATTAAGATATAAAACATACAAATTAAAATTAGTACGCTAATTTTTATTCACATGTTTTTTTAAGGGTTTAGTCTCGCCATATTACTACTTTCTATAAAAAAAAATAATGACAATGACAAAAAATTAAAGCCAGTTAATAATACAAGGAATAAAAACTTCAAAAAAACACAATGGCTTAAATTAAAGCAAACCATAAATATAAGAACCAAAATCATATTGAATTTATTAAAAAATAATATTTAAGCTTACCCAAAATTTGAGAAAGAAGAGAAGGAATGAATCCATGGGAGAGGAGACAATACTGACAGACAAGCACAACAACACTGCAAGTAGAGCCAAAAGAAATGTGTTGGTTCTTCAGAATCTGACACAATGATTCCCACACTTGTTGAATGTTGAGTCCAACACTCTTCACGATAAAGCTTCTTCCCTATTCCTATTTTTAATCCATGTTTTTTCTCAACCCAGTCATTTATATCATTCATATTCTTTTTTCTTAATAAAACTATTTCATCCTTAGTAAAGTTGACTATATAGATTAAAATGAAATTTCTCATAAACCAAATATTTAGAACAATGATTTCCATATAATAAAGTAGTAATTGTTAATGGTTTTACAAAAAAAAATAGTCTCTATCTCCTATATTTTTAATTTATTAGTCTTTCTTAATTTAATTATATATATTATTTTGTATTCCCATCCATCCATCCATCAAAGCAATGTTATTAAAACCGTACCGGTTATCAAACCGGTTAGAGTACTGGTATAGTGGTACAATGGTTCAACCAGTGGTTCAGTGGTTCAACCGCATGCCGGTTAAACCGGACATACTTGCTTATATATATATATATATATATATGTAAACCTATAACAAAAAATTTCAAATAAGTAGATATTCATATTTATAATCCATATTCATAATTTACTTCAAATTCACACAAACAAACAATATTAAGTCTTTAATAAAATCAAAGTCTAAAGTACAAAACATATATTTATCCAAAATTATCACTTAACAAATGCAAAATACAAATAAATGACCCAAGTATCAATCATTGAAGTTGAAGAATTGGTGAAGAATTGAAAATTTGAAATTTAAAAAAAAAAATTAATGTACAAACCAACCAGTTTTGACCGGTTCTATTGCATATGCGGTATAACATACGTACCGTACCGGTTAGGGGTCCGTTTCACCGGTTTTTCGGTTGAACCGGCCGGTACGGCACGGTTTTTAAAACTATGCATCAAAGCATGCTTAGATATATATGTAACACTTGTTTGGCTCTTTACTGCTCGCAGTTCAGTACTATAAAGTATTGCAGATCCTAAGCACCTTAACAAATAATGCCTGGATCATTTATCAATTTCATCCATTATATAATATATGACCCTATCCTTTACGTATTTGTCTATACTCTATATGATATTCTAACATACATGAACTGTGAATATATATAATCTTTAATTTACATTAGTGCTAGCTCTTGAACTTACAATAAATACAAATGTAAGACAGGGATGTTTGCAATAACTTGCATGAGATTTATATGAGGAGCATGTAAACAAATGTTTATGAAATTATGATTAGTATTTCACTAAAGATAATGCATATTATGTTTTTTTGTAATCCAAAATATATTATGCATTATTCCCATAATCCCATTCTTGAAGATTTTGGTTGTTTCAGAGAATATTAATGCAGGGTGTAATAAGATGATATGATACATTTTAAAGGAAAAGGTACCTCTAACCAAGTATATCAGAAAATATAGTGATAAAATAACATCAATTGATTTTTCATGTCAAATTTATTAAGAAATGAGTACAAGAAGTACATGCCTTAAGAAAGGAGTACAATAAGTATTAGAAGGTTACATAAATTGTTGAATACACCACAATGGAGTCAAAATATGTCGAAAGAGAATACCATATGAGCAATACTTGTTGAAAGGGGAAGTCTTAGTACGTTGAAATAGATTAGTTCTCATATGAAGAGTAAGAGAATACCCTATCAATAACCTTAAAAACATATACTAATTATTTTTCTCTTTATTTGTAACATATATTTCTTAATTATATGTAACAATTTTTTAAATTGTTTTGATTGTTGTTAGGTTGTGTTCACCTTAGTTGTGGCCATGGTGTTGTTAAATAGACTCGTCAAACCATAATGTGTAATTTAAAACATTAATATATAACATGGTAGTAAGAAAACAATTATTCTTAACTTTATAAAAAGGCTGAGGATTTTTTGTGTGTTTATTGCTCCAACTAGTATTTTGAACTTGACAAAACTAATGAACATAATTTAAGTGTGTTCAAAATTCAACCTATCCTAATAACTCATTAACTAAGGTGAGTTTAAATTTCAGGAACTTGACTTATATTTTTGGCTCGGGTTCATGTCCCACTTCATTTTGCTACAACCCTAACTAGTGTTTATAATAGTTTCAAGAAAAAATGCTTATAATTTGTTTTGAAAAATCTAATCATGCATTTTGGAGCTAAAATGAGTTTCTATCTGAGTTAATTAGCATTAATGAATTAGGTGACAAGGTGAGCTTTGATTATTCCAAAATCTATACAAAACGTGTTTGTGCAAAGCTATCCCTGAGACAAAGTAGTAGTATAAAATTGTAAATTAAATAGAAATAAAATACGATTTAAAAAAGGAAGAGAAACAAGGAATGGAGAAGGAGAAAGTATATACATGAACATACTATTTTGAGAAAAGAAAAGAAGTCATAGGTTTTGAGTAATGGTTTGGGAAATTTCGAAAACATTACTACAATTGCGATCACAATATTTTTTTTTAAAACCTTAACATGTAAACATGCATTCTTACCTCATACCCATATTTAAAATCTTGAAATGTTTATTATGGTCATATTTTCCTCCTTTATCTTTCTTCAACTCTATATTTTATTTAAAGAATTAAAGTTGAGTGATGAAGAATCTGTCTTCCAAACACTCCAAGACAAAATGAGCTTCAACTTTACGACCTAGAAAAGGAGTTTTCAACACAAAAAAGTTAGCATAGGAATTTGAGTGCTTAGTAGCCCAACTCATTACTCACCCATTTCTTTCAATATTCTTCCTTAATTTGGTGTCTATATTTAGCTTCAGGGTGAAACCACAACCCCACATATTCCTCCTTTCCCTCTCCAAATCACACCCAAACCCTTCTATTATTAGCCACACATTAACCCTCTTACGTTTTGCCCAATGCTCCTATAGCTTTGCTTCTTTTGTGGCCAGGGCTCTCAAAACCCATTTGATTATGACCTACCTACTTTACTTTTCCCACATCTGTAATACATTATTATTTCCCTTCTGCTCTCAATCTCAATATATTTACCTTGTTCTCTTAATCTCTTTCAGTCTTACAAACTCAGTGCATATATTGTACCTTCTCTCTTTGCATATATTCCAACTTCATCTTCCCCATGATGAAGGAAAACAAATATATATGTAGGATTCATCATCATCATACTTTTCTTACATTACTCAGGCCACGTGGAAGAATATATATAAACATCTTGCATCCATGCTTGCATGTTCTTATAGCTAGATGAGTGTGTTGTCTTGGAATTTGAATTACAAGTATAAAAACTTTTTTTGCAAGCTATAGTTATTCATGAATGTCATATATCATGGAGATATATTGAATGTGCCTGGCTCCCTGTATGCCATTTTCAGAGTTTATTGGTATTTTCATGGCCTCCGTGGATGGCGTATGAGGAGCCAAGCATACATATTCTATAAAAATACATGTAGAATTTGATTTTTATATTGAGTAATGTTATATTCTCAACAAAAAAAAATCAGCAGACTTTTAATTTACATGGAGTCTAGTAGTCTACATTTGCTAGAAGGGTTTTTATTTATTTATTAGGAGAATATAATATTTTTATTTTATTTTATATTCTTAAGAGTTTAAAATGAAAAATATTTTGTCATTATGAGACAATAAAAACAATAAATTATTGTCATTGAATTATATTTGAATGACAAAAATATATGTATTTGACTTTCTTAAATGATCTGGAACAACTTTTAATCTTGATCATATGTTTTATTCTAGGCAGAGATCTACTTATTCCAATAGTAAGTTTTTAAAACTTACTCCACATCTTAATCTTGATCATATGTTTCATTCAGGTTGTGTTTCTTCACGAATGAACAAAGGTACATGAGTTTATGTCCCTTCTTTTTTAGCCTTCCACAATATTATTAACGGAGAGATTTGCTTTGTGTTCTTTGTAATAGTGATGCACTGATGCAAAGTGTGTCATGTGTCACTTCACTTGCATATCAACATAATCTGGGAAATATTCCTCATTTAATATTAAAAAGAGCTCACGTACGTGGAGAGGATGTGATAAAACCTAACCCTTACACATTGTTTTATATTTGAAGCTCACATGACATACATAAATTCACATCATGAGTTATTTAGTACGTAAAACTTTTGAGAATTTATTTAATTGGTTATTTTATTGAAATAATGATGTAAATATTTTAAATAAATTACTTTATAAGTACTCTAGAGGATGAACATCCTATTTTCTTATATTGTTTCCCTAAAATATATTATTTTGGATAATTTAATGAAGAGAGGAGTTATATGCAGCAGCAATTTCAGCAATTGTTTGTATTCATTTTGTTCAACAAATCAAGAAGCAACCAAGTGCAAAAACAAATTTTAGATCTCATATGGAATTAATTGAAGTCAAGGATAACAGCAAAGTATGGTGCTTATGATTATTCACAAGACAAAACTTAGGTAAAGTACTATAGGTGCTAATAGTACATGTAATCTATTAGAGGATGACATGTGAACATTTTTTTCTACTTTCAAGGAATGAACATTTATTACGTTTACAATCAAGTATTTTTTTACCTTGAAATTACAATGAGTAAAGGGGACATTTATCACCACTTATTTTTTTACTTATGATACTTTACCTAAGTTTTGTCATATTCACAATTGGACTTTTTGTAGCTTAAAAGAAATAAGTGTTTAATGCTTTAGCATTGGATATTGCCGAAACAATTGAAATGGGAAAAATTAGAACATGGCTTTGTCCTATTATGATTGGAAACTAAATCTTTTTTATGCATTACATTTAAGAGGGGTAATTAGATTTACAAAAAATATCAAATAATAATAAAATATTGGTAATAAAAATAAAATAAAAAGTAACAATAAAATTTAAAGATAACATATTAATGTGTTATAAACATCTTTGTCAATATTAGTTGTGTTTTTAAGATAATTATATCACTTCTAAAACACCTAGGATTAGTTAGATAGCAAATCACATTGAAAATCAAGTACAATGAGTAAAGGGGATTTTTTTTTTATCAGCAAAAGAATTTTTATTAGATAGAAAATGTTGATACGTGAAAAGAGAAGGAAAATGAAGAAATAAAATTACAAAGTAACATTAAGACAAAGAAAAGGCTTAGAAAACCAATCAGAATATGATGAGAACTCCATTCCCATATGTTCTTAATCCAAAGCCAAACATTCACACCAAGATGAGGTGAATAGAAGGATTAGTCTTGTTTGAAAATTACGTCATTCTGATGTCTCCAAATAGCCCATACTGTAGCAAACCAGATGATGCTCCACACTTTCCAACCCTTTTTTCAGTGACCATGTCCAAATGATTGAAATAATGATGGATATGTATCTGAGGCAAAGCAACAGTGATGTCTAACCAATTGTAGATTAATTTCTAACCATAGTATGTAACTTTACCATAAGAGAAAAGATGAGTAGCAGATTCCAAGTCGACATTACACAAAGAGTAGAGAAGTCCACCACCATTATGAAAAGAAACTCTCTGCCTAGAAAGAGCAGTTTTAGTGGGAACTCTATCCTGAAATAATCTCCAAACAAAAGTGATGACCTTCAAGGCGATGTCTTTGATTTCTAAATAGAGTAAGAGTGTTGCACGTTGTTCGAGTCATTAACAAAATCAAAGTCTAACTGACATGAGGTTTAATTTTTGTACCACCGGTTGAACCATAAATTATAAATTATCTACAAAAACATAAATTATAAATTTCAAATATGTAGATATTCAAATTTATAATTTATATTCATAATCTACTCCAAATTCACACAAACAAACAACCTTAAGTCATTAACAAAATCAAAGTCTAAAGTTCAAAACATATATCAATCCAAAATTATCACTCAACAAACGTAAAATATAAACAAATAATACAAGGTCACAATTTTCTCTATAAAACATATAAATTTAGAGTTTTACCATTTAATACTAATGAGTCAAAGTTGTCTCATATCGAGGTTCCATATTATTATCTTTTAAGTTTAATTGATCTACAACAATGTAATATTATTAAAAAAATTACAAGACCAATTTTTCAGTTAGAAAATGGGAGATGAATTTAAAAAGGTACTAAATAGTAAAATTAAAAGAGATGGAGGGTTAATATTTGAAGCAATCCAACCTAGTAAACAATTTTCATTTCTAATCTTACGATTCTTCTTCAAAGGAAATGTTCAATATCTTGTTTGTTACTTACCACAAAAATATTGAAATGTATTTTTTATAAGACTTGAATATTTGTGCACCGTTAGTGTAAAATTTTTACTCTACCAACACATCATTACATTTGTTTGAAAATCAATAACACTTAACCGAGATATGTGATAGATAATTTATAGATAATTAAAAATGCTTACATCATGTTATACCTATTAAATCATTTTTATAAACAACTGTCCAAATAAAATATTGTTTTCACTTTTCCTAGCCAAGCACCCCACCCTCCTTGTCTCCCCATCTTCCCTTGGTAAGCCTCAGAAATCTCAAGCATTAAATTGTTGGTTCAGCCGCGCCAACACAACCACAACCACCATCAACGACGACGATGACACGGTGGAGCACCAGGTTTTTATGCGGAACCCGTTAAGGACCCTTCTCTTGTCAAAAGAAGCTCCACAAACTCACCCACAACGTTTCTGAAGCTATTGCTTCACTTAAGATCCTTATGGAACCTTCATTTCATTTTCTTTCAATATCTTCTTCTTATTCTCCGTTACTATCTCTCAACCGCAACAGATCTGAGCTTAAAAAAATATGTATAAACCGACCGGTTTTTACCGGTTCACCGGTTTTGTTACTTGACCGGTATAACACCCGTGTCGTACCAGTTCGCCGGTTTTCCGGTCGAACCGGCCGGTACGGTACAGTTTTCTTATCAGTGATCTTAATCATGATTAAGAAACATGAATAAAATTGTATTCTATTTTAATATTTTATAGTCTTTTTAGAATCTTTATTTTATTTAGTGTTATGGTTTTTATTTAGTCTTTATTTTATTATTTTATTTAGTGTTATAGTCTTTCATTGATTAGCTCTAAAGTATCCGTGTATTATACACATTATACTTACAATAAACTACTTCATTCTCACCATATCTCCCAACCTCAATCATCTTACTTCATATATTCTATTTTTCCTCAATCAACCTCACAAACACAAACTTCTCTTTTTTCATATGCTTTTGCTTCACTAAAGTTAATCAATGCAATTTCAAGTCCATGATCAAAGACTACATCTACATTATTCTAAAGATGCTACAAATTGTGTTCTTTCAAATCCTGAACAAGAATATGATTTATGAGTCACTCTTCAAACGAATAGTACTATGTACATGTACAAGCATGTATTTGATATATATGTACTGAAGAATTTGAACTGGTTTGCTACATTATCTACTACTAATAACTACTCATATTCTCTATGAAGCCGTTTCTCAAAAGAAAATTCTGATACACTTATGCTGATTTCATGTTGAGAGCTAATAGGCAATTGTGTTGTTGAATCTGGCTCCAAAATTTGTGTCTCATCTCCTTCTTCTATAATATGTTTGGTTGGAGAAGCTGACCCTTCAATATCCCACTCTTCATTTTCATAGTTTGAGGTCCTTGGAGAAGTTTGTATACTATCACTGCGGCCGTGATGCGGTTGCAGCAGGCGTACCGGAGATAAGCCGTGTGTCGGGGTTGTCGGCCTGCTAGAGAATGGTGTGACATTGGCACTAGCATGCTTGCTGTCTTTTACATGCTTTTTGGCTGTGTGGTGCCAGTTCTTTAGTGCTGTTGCTACTCTATCATTGAAAATTGTGTGTTTCATGGTTGAACCCATCTGTAATGTTAGCCAAAAGAGAATTAAAATCAGTGGCTTACCATAATAGTATGCACGATTTTCAATTTCGGTCCACGACCGCAATTGTGGCCGCAGTAATACGGTTTTTATAGTCTCCACAATTATATTGTGTTTGTAATTGTAGCTACATCGGTCATATTTCTTGTGGCCAATGCAACCACAATTACAACTTTGATCACGAATTCTCGATTTAAAATGATGATAGTATGGTAAATGAAAAATTATCAGATAAATGTTCTCCCATCTTACCTGTGTGACTAGAGCATAAAGAGGCAAAGTTACATAGCTGCATAAGAATTGTACCACAACCCTGAAAAAATTTCAACTTTATTATTAGTTTACATGTATAATTCTTAAGAAGCTAGGGTCATCTAAACTCCAAAATAAAAGTCATGGATTAATACTTGTTCTGTATATTGGGTTGTGCACTTTTTATAAGTGAAATGAACTTACCCCATTGTTACTCTGATGACAATATCTGCAGTAGTATCATGGAAGCAAGAGTATAAGCCAAATTCATACTGAAACAAAACAATTATGGTAA